AAAGACCAAAAACTCTTCCGCATTCCTAATCGATTTTTTCGGCTAACCGTTCAGTAGAATAGAGTAGGGTCGGATAAGATAAAAAATTGCGACGANATTTTTTTTAAAGTAATAATGCCCCGTCTAGGCGCCTTTTGTACTTATGAATGCAACACAAATATCAAATTTAATTGATCATATTCAAAGTATAGGCATTGGTTCAACTTTGATTTTATGAGCTAAAACATGATTTATAAACTTTTTCTCATCAAGCCTTCGTTTAATTTAATCTGTAAACTTTTTTATAAAGTTATTTTTAAACAGTTACTTTTAGGGGTTTTCACCCTACTTTACGGGTAAGAAATATAGTTTTTCGTCTTCTTATCCGATATTTTGTAGAAGAATTTTTTTTTTAACCTATCTTACACGATCAGGTGTTGTATTCTTACTTGATTAATCAAGTAGGAAGTCGGATAAACACTTTTTAGTTATTAATTTGTGAATTATTTTAACAATTCAATTAAATAACATGCACCAATTTAACAACACAATAAATCAATAACACTAAAACCTAAAACGACTGCAATAACACTTACAATAAAACATAAGAAAGTATGAACATCAATTCATTATAATTGTTACACAAATACAATAAAAATTATTTTAAATTTAAACCATATTAAATACATTAAAATCATAACTGCTCTAATATATTATCAGTTTACCACAAATCATGTAACATATACAAAAAATAAATCCATATTTTTGCAACTTAAACATCCACAACAATAATAATGTTATTATATAAATTATACCACACAAATACTCTTATAATTACTAAAAAAATATAAAAAAGTTAAATATATTTTTTGCGGGTAGGGTAGGGTAGGAATGTCAAAATTAATAGGTATTTCGCATTCCTACCCGATTTAATCGAAAGACCAAAAACTCTTCCGCATTCCTAATCGATTTTTTTGGCTAACCGTTCAGTAGAGTAGAGTAGGGTCGGATAAGATAAAAAATTGCGGCCAATCAAAAATTTAAACATCCTAGTTACTTTAAAGTTATATATATACACTATGTTTTTGACAAGAGGCATCAGCCTCAATCTTTACGGTGAAAGGGTCTTGCTGAAACGTTCTGTGAAGGTAAGTGAAGCGTGATCACATGGACTCCATCTATTAGTTTGTACAAAGACATAAGGAACCGAACTTCCTTGTGAAGGCTCACCTATGACGGGTAGTTTATAGCTTGTCCTTCTTTGCTAAGTCAAAAGTAACGTGGCTTGCCGTGAGCTTTTTAATAGAAAGACAGACTTGAAACTGACTTACAGCTTACTTTTCTCTGGAGGGAGGTTCTTGAGTCAGACCGATTCGGCCATTGAATCGTCTGAATGGAATGTATTTCTTTCGAAAAGTGGATATATTTTACTTTTGTTAGCAAAAAAGATCGTGTAACTTGCATTTTTATTCGACATTTAAATGCTAATTAGCTAATCGAACTAAGTTCAAACCGAACTCAAAAAGTAGCNTGAATGGAATGTATTTCTTTCGAAAAGTGGATATATTTTACTTTTGTTAGCAAAAAAGATCGTGTAGCTTGCATTTTTATTCGACATTTAAATGCTAATTAGCTAATCGAACTAAGTTCAAACCGAACTCAAAAAGTAGCAACCTTAACAATATATTTGAAGTTAAATCATTTATCACACAAGTCGATCTCTTATGAGACTTGATAACCAACCATATCTCGAGCTAAGTTTGAATTACTTGGTTCTATTTATGGTCTAAATTAGGGGTGTTCATTCATGTCAGTAACAACAAGAACGTTTTAAGATCAATGTGTAATGATTAACACAGGAAAATATAAAACGCAAAAATGCATACANTGAGACTTGATAACCAACCATATCTCGAGCTAAGTTTGAATTACTTGGTTCTATTTATGGTCTAAATTAGGGGTGTTCATTCTTGTCACTAACAACAAGAACGTTTTAAGATCAATGTGTAATGATTAACACGGGAAAATATAAAACGCAAAAATGCATATAATTGTAAAACGGTTAAGTTAGGTATTACAAGTTAAAATAAAGTTAGAGGTTGTAATAGTTTATACATGCATGTTCAACAAGACTAATAGGTGCATTTATAAGTAATTGTGACATGATTACTATAAGTGAGAATATATGGACAACAAGAGGTTCAATCTTAACCAATTAGGAAATAGTGAAAAATCAGATCATTATTGTTGATCAACATTTTATTTTAATAAATTATTTCCGTCACTTAAGAAACAAAATTTTTTTGAATACAGAATAAAAACGGATAAAAAAAGTTTGATAATTTATTTTCAATACATTTATCGAAACGCATCAAAATATTTTGAAACATTGCGAAATATTCTGAAACAAGGAAGTGTATGTCCTCAAAAACCACATTCCTATTTCCTTGGATTTTTTAGTTTTTATTATTGAAAATAATGTGGCTTTTTACAATTGGTTCTATTTGTTAAAAAAAATCTGAAAAAACTAAGTTTAAGACAACCAAATTCTATTTCATTTGAAATAACCTAATCAGATTCAAATTCCTCACATTTTATTGGTCTTTAATTTTTTAATAATTCAATTTTTTATTAATAAGATAACTCCTAAAATTTCTCAATTGCCTCAAGTTTCTCTTCCACCGTCCCCATTTTTCTGCGTTCCTAAGCACACATACTCTTAGTCTCTCTCTTTCTCTCTCTAAATGTATATTTACTACATATTATAGCAATCAATTAAGGAAAGAGAGTGCTTATGAGACCTTCCTTCATTAAAAATTATTTTTTAAAAAAAATTGAATTATTTAATAATAATGAATTAATATCTTCAAATTAAATTATTTTATGTGGCTTATGTAACTACTCTCACAAAATTACTTTAAATTTAAAATTTTCATCCTCTCTAATTAAACACAATAATGGGTAATTGCCCCATAAAATGAGGGTCGAGAATGGGGTGAGATGCGGGCTGATAGGATTGTGATTACAAAATTAAAAATATCGTACATTGCACAGGGCTATGCTAATAACTTATACATGTAGAAGTTAAAATAAAGCTAAAAGTGCATTTACAAGTAATCGTAGAATGATAAACTTAAGTGGCTATGTTAGGACAACGAAGAAATCAAACTTACTTAACCAACTGAAATAGTGAAAAATCACATTATTATCTAGATCAAAATTTTGTTTCAATACTTTATTTTAGTCACCTAGGAAATAAAAATGTTTTAGAAACAAATTGAAAACAAATAAATATTTAAAATATTTATTTTCTATACATTTAGCAAAATATACAAAAAATATTCTGAAACACTTCGAAACATTTCCGAAATAATGGTGTAAATAAATCAAAATATCTCAAAACACCTCAAAATAATATAAAACACCTCGAAATATTATAAAACACGTTGAAGTATTGAAAATTTTCAATTGTATAATTGATTTATTTCAGTCTCTTTGGATAGAAAAATATTTCAACGGAAACGAGATTTTGGTCCTTAATCATTATTTGTTACAAACATAAATCTTGACAAAGTACAATGATAAAAGTAGAAACATGCAACCCCACATCGGGTGAGATCTTAGCACATCATGGTTGAGTTGTTTATTGTAAGAAGTTGAGAAGAAAATGACTTTCATTAAAAGCATAGAGATTTGCAAAATAATAATAATAATCATGGAAGTACAAAACATAACTCTTTAACTAATTATTGTCCTAATTGTTTCCTAATCCACGGCAGAGGGTAAGGTGCAACTTGTTTGGCACCCCCAAGCCTCTACAACGGGGCCTCGAGAGCAACCCACAACCAAACACATTTTCCTAAGTTGTGATTAAGACTATGATATTATTTTGTTTCACTTACCCACTATCTCTGTGACATCATGTATTACAATGTTTTATCATTTTTATTTTTCTAATAAAGCAAATATAAATTAAAATATAATGTCTATATTTTGAAGGAAAGGCATATTTATATAATATAATTGTGGATGATGGTGATGACGATGATGAGAAAGATAGCAAAAGATATGAGATGGTACATGTGAAAGTGTGATTATCTAATTGAATGTTTATATATATTTTTTGATAATCCAAAAACTCCCACCAACCGAGTTTATTTGAGCTTGTAGTTGGTAATCAACTTGGGTCTACGTGCAAAGCCTCCTCTTGATACATATTGTTAAGTCTTAGTAGGTTGGGTGAGAACATTGATACTCACTAGTGGGGGCTAATAAATTTAACCATAAATGATTAAACTCGATTGAAATTGATAAAATCTGTACCCATTATTACTTATTACTCAATTTTCTAGTTTTTATTATATGAAACCTTTATATATAATGTATACAAATATGTTTCACAATCAAACTATGTTTAACTTAGTCACTCCTTATTAACAAAGAGGTTAGTGGTTCAATTCAGATCTCTCACTACCCATTCTTTGGGATCGTATCATACTCACATTGCCACCCACCAACGGAATCAAAAATTGTGTTGTGTGAATAAGTGGGCCATTGACGACAAAAAAAAATAGGTGGACCCAGATAGCGAAAGAAATCGTATTCATATTTGTGGGGCTAACCCAGTAGTTAAACAGTACGAGAGAAAAACTGTAAATTTAAATATTTTGAATTTAAATTTTGACAATCTCTTAAAATCAATTTATGAAAAATTTATTCTTCATGAATATTTTAATCACTGCGTGAATGACTTGTGTTTTACCCGATCGAAGAGAATATTAATCGAAATACGTGTAAATTAGTCTGATGGGCCCGCATTACAAATGCACCTCCTTCCAATTGTGTGTTGGATCTCTCCCTTTGAGAATCTAAAAATTGGTTTGTATTAAGTTAGAATTATTTATTATTAAGTTTATTAAGAACCAAAAAAATGTATTAAATTTATTAGAGAGTTCAGAAGATTAATTGACACAAAAAAAAAAAAAAAATTAAGAACTCTCCAATTTTCTTCCACTACTGTCCCATATATAAAAAGTGTATGACTAATCTAAGGGTGTCAAATATGACACACAATTAAAGGGTTTGAATCTCTCTTAAACCACTCATTTCGTGATTTAATGAGAATTATATATAATCTACGCGAAGGCGGCGACAGCCTCGCCGTTGGTGGAGGTTTCGGGTTCGGCCTCGGCGGCGGAGGTGGTGGTTGCAGCTTCTTTCTTGGAAGCCAATGAGCACTTCTCTTTTCTCTCGTCTTCCTTCATCTGTTGCTGCCGGCACTCTAGACTGCAAAAAGCACTATCATCTCTGCCAAAAAAAAAATTGGGACTTCCATAGAAAAAATTCCCACAAAGAACTTCCATGAAATATATGAAATACTATTATTAATCAAAGCCAACTTAAGAAAAAGGTTAAAAAAATCCAAGAAAAAAGCCTCAAAGAACACCCATGAAATATATAATATAAATACTATTATTAACAGAAACCAATTTAGCCAAACAGCTCCAGAGTACTCCCATGACATACTATTATTAACAAAAACCAATTTACCCATGAACATAATACAGTGAGAGAGAGAGAGAGAGAGAGAGAGAGAGAGTACCTATACATGAAGATGTCACGACCGGGGACCAAACGGCGGTTACAAAGGGAACAAGCCCTCAAGAAATGAGCAGTTTTGATATGATCAGCAGACTTCCGATGATGAATTCTAGGAGAGACGGCGGCAGCTGCTGAGAACCGTTGATCTAAACCCCTCTTCAACGGGTCGTGAGCATCGGACGGCTGAATCTCACCGTTGTTGATGAGATCCAAGCTGAACTCAGTCATGCTCGTAGTTCTCTTCATCGGAGGGCGTGACCTCTTTCCCAGCAACATCTTCTCTCTCTTTATTTTCTCTTCTCTCTTTCCTCTTCAAAGCCTGCTGATATATGCAGAGAGAGAGAGACAGAGTATAGGGAGAGAAGAGGAGTGAGATTGGGGAGATGATGGGATGATGAACAGAGAGCCAGAAACCAAGGAGAGGATCTGAGCCATCGCTTTTACTTTCACACATCTGGGAAGCCACGTCAGCTACCGTTTATGCATTCTTTTTTAAATAGGCATGTCAATCATGTTGAGCGTCCAAAAAAAA